CCCAGCCCCAGCCCCAGCCCCAGCCCCAGCCCCAGCCCCAGCCCCAGCTGAAGTTAATTAACACAGTTAGCAGTGGAACATGGACAGTTCTGGACTACATCCATAACCACAGGAACAACTGCTGTTCTTAGGGCCATCTTGGTTTTTTTTAAAACTGAGTGTTTGTCCTTGGTGTAGCTGTCCAGGGCAGCAAAGAATTATTCCTTGGGGACTGATGAGCTCATCACTCTGCAGCACACTGCTGTGCAGAGGCCCCGCAGCTAGAGTTGTATGGTACGTGACACTGGCAGTTACTCATTCTTCCACCCCAGATGCCCTGCGCTCATTCTGTTCTCTTTATAGCAACACTGTAGCTCCTGTCTGTAGCCTGGAAGGCCTGGGCATAACTTGAACACTAAACTGGGAAGGAGCTGAGGCCTCCTGGGTTCTGTTTTCAGTTCCCCTTCCTTGTGTGATCTTGGGTGTTTCTCTTTCCTGGCCTCAGTTTTTCCCTGCTTCCTCACTTTACTCAAGGATACTGTTTATTTGGAAGAGAGGTGGTTGGTAATTGTAGAATACACAATTGCTCAAGTCCTACATGTTAAGGGAATCTCCTAAGTGAGGCCAGAATTGAATGGAGGTCAAAATGAACCTATTTGTGGAAAAATCTGACCTGAGTGCAAAGAGAATTCTAGCGAGCTTCCAGTTGATTTCAGAGGTGTGTTTTTTTTACCTTGTGATATTGTATTAATCTTAATCCTTACATAACTTCCTTACTTAAGTTTCTACCTGAATTTGTTGAATTCACTGTCAAACAGTGCTTCCTACCCTTCCTGATGTACTGTGTCCAGGGTTATTGTCCCCTTGTCAGTCTTGCCTTCTTCCACCAGGGATTCATGGACTCCAGGGACACGAAGGCACCACATCCCAAGCCTTCATGTAGATGAAGAAAATAAGTTCAGAAAGGATCTTGATTAAGAAAATATATAACCAGATGCCACTGGGGCCCATCGCTGGCCCTGACTGTCCAAATGAGAAAGCCAGAGCAAAAGGGAGAAAGACCTGGGGCAGCTGGGAAGGGTGGGCAGGGAACCAAGAAGGCTGGGCACTGGGCTGTGTGATGAGCTGAGCCAGCAGCGTGGTGGCCGGGCTGGCTGCCTCCTCTCCCTGCCCGACTGGGAGGGGCAGCCTCTGTGATGTAGAGAGACGAGTTATTCTGAGGAATACTGCAGTGCGGATGTGAGTGAGATCAGGAGAGCTGGGAAAGACGAGACTGGAGGGAGAGCCCGGGAAAAATGCAGAGGGCAAGATGGGAAAAAAGGTGGAGGGAAGGGGAAGGATTAAATCCCACATCTATAAAGTATGTTCTCTTGGGTTCTCATTTTCTTGCTGTCCTCCTTGCTACTTACTTCCTAACCACCTTTCTTATACTGAAGTTTCTCTCTTGGTGCAGTTCCCCTCCTTTCTCAGACTGGAAGAAGTCTGCACAATGTGGCAGGAAGTGATAGGCTATATGAGTGGGGTCTGAGAAGTTCCGCTATCCTAGCCAACCTTGTCGGGTGCGGCGTGGCCCCCACCGCTAGCCTTCCATCTCTGTGATGTAACACACCATGCTCTGGCTTACCTTGGACTGCCCTGTGTGAGAAGCCTAGTGCTGGGACAGAGACCCTGCCAGTGGCTGTCTGTTAGCCTACTGCTGGTCTCAGTCTCCGAATTCTGTATCCCAGGAGATACCACCTCTAGTTCTTACCCACATATTCATGAGATACTTTTTATACTCCAGGCTCCCTTTCCCTCTGGGTTTGGGTGCTTAGTAGTCCCAGGCTTCTGCTTTCCACTGTCACCTCTCTCCGGCTCACTTAGTGGGGGATCTGGGTGGGCAGTTTCTGAAGCTTATGGGGATGGACTTTGAGTGTCTCCTCCCAGCTCTTGAGCAACTCTGTTGACGCGGTGTGTGTCCTGCAGCTGCTTTTACAGGGTTAAATGGTACCACGCGAGGCAGGGCAGCAGGCTAGAGGAGCTCTGTTCTGGTGCAGGCAGGAGGCGGGAGACCGGATCTGTGCTGCTGAAGGTGGGAGACTGGGCCGGGTGGGCCTGGTGGTCTGGTGTGGGCAGGACGTGGGGGAAGAGGCCAGTCTGACAGCTGGTTGGGCTGGGGCCTGAACGGGATGGGCACTGTGAAGGACAAGAACAACTGCATTTGCTTTTAAATATAATCACTGATATGTGGCCTGGAGGTTCTGGGAAGGCAGCTGCTGCACTCCACACTGGCCAGGAAGCATGGAGCCGCCTGACAGCTGCAGCTGGCCGCCTGGCCAGCCAGACATTCCTGCCCACAGCTCCTCCCCATCTAGGGAACCAAACCCAGGGGCTGAGGCCTGAGCCAGACAGGTGGGGAACAGGGAGCTTTAGGGGCAGGGAAGGACTCTGCACCTATGCCTTTGCCTTCTTCCCATGTCTGCTAGGTGGGAAGAGGAGTACACGGTGCGGATACAGCTGCAAGAGCGAGTGAATGAGCTCCAGGAGGTGAGGGCGCCTCACTGCCTGGGCTTCCCTCAGTTCTCCCCTGTCGCCCCTTGATCCTGGGGCTGGTTCCTTGTCCCTCCTTATCTTGACCTGTCTCCCACACTGGCAGTGCCACTAATGGCAGGGTTTTCTGCTTGGCTATAGGAAGCCCAGGAGTCTGATGCCTGCCAGGAGGAGCTGGCGATGAAGGTGGAGCAATTGAAAGCTGAGCTAGTGGTCTTCAAAGGGCTTATGAGCAACGTGAGTGCAGCTAGCGCATCCCTCACATTCTTCCCCTGCGGGCTTGTCACGCAGGCTGTCTGCAGCCAGGCTGCCAAATCAGGCAGAGCAGGCCTTGCTAGGTGTGGCCTGTTGATTTCCTGTCCACCACCCCTCCCCACACTTTGCTATGCTTCCGTCTTTTCCTTTGCCACCCTCTACTTCAGGAGAAAAAGAAGGAACACATGTCCCTTGTGTTGGAGAGGCAGCGTACCTCCATCATCACTAGAGCTTGTCCAGCAGTTAGTTAAGAACACAGATACCAGCTCTGCCCCTCCCCAGCAGTGTGGCCTTGGGTGAATTCCTTCACCACTCTGCCTCCTGTCCTTACACGGAATGGGATAGGTAATAAAGGCGTGTACAGTGCAGAATGAGTATGCTCATAACGCCCTGAGGATGGTGCTGGCACATACTTAGTGCTAAATAAGCGTTAGCTGTTGTTATCCTTACCACACTATGTTCTCCATTCTTGTAACTCCCAGTAGTCTCTCTTTCACATAAGTTCCAAGAGGGACCCCTGCATGTCCCGGCTCTGGGCCACGCCCTCCAGGGGCTCCCCATCTAGCCAGGGAGCCAGTTGCACCAGCAGCCTGTGTATGAACTAAGTGCTGTGGGGAGATCACCCAGAAGGGACGCGTGCTACTCAGAGGAGTTGATGGCTTCATGGGGGAGGTGATGGTGACGTGTGACCAGAAGGGTGAGGAGGATCTTGTCAGGGCCTATTGGCCCTTGTGTGGAGTGCAGGGCACCTCCTCACTGTTCCCCGTGTTCCCCGGACAGAACCTAACAGAGCTGGACACGAAGATCCAGGAGAAGGCCATGAAGGTAGACATGGACATCTGCCGCCGCATCGACATCACCGCCAAACTCTGCGATGTGGCTCAGCAGCGCAACTGTGAGGACATGATCCAGATGTTCCAGGTGAGGGCAGAGGGCAGGCATTGGCCCGGCCTCCAGCCCACACCTCCCCGTGCCCGAGGGCCTCAGGGGAGGGTTGGGGCAGGTGAAGAACCTTCCATCATTGCTGCCCATCCTCCTTCTCGGGGGACTCGTCCTGGCACCGAGGGGCCCTTAGTGGGACTGGCTGGGGAGCCAGGAACAGCCTCGGAAGAGAAGTTTGGAAGCTGTCTCTAACTCATCTCTCCCCTCCCTCTCTCCTCTGTCTGCTTCCTCTCCTCTCTCTTCCTCTCATCTTCTTTGGCTTTCTTCACAGAAGAAACTGGTTAGTTTTGCTCTCACGCAAGCTTATTAATGTCCCAGTCCCCGTTTCTAAACTGCCCAGGCCTTGGCCATCGGTTCTGACCTGCTGGGCTTTTCAGCGCAGATTTCCACCCCCTTCTAGTTCCCGCGCCCTGTCCCCCTCTCCTCTTTCCTCTGCTTCATTTCTTTCTATGCCTTTTCCTCCCGGCTTTCCAGGCCTGGATATGCGACTTAGGTTCTCCTTCGTGAACAGTGTCCTCCTCCTCCTTGCAACCTAAAACTTTCTTTTTTGTTCAGTCATTTCATTAGAAAGACCTCTTTTTAGGCGAAAAAAATACTTGGTAGCCATTGTGCACATCCTAACGTGGCCACAGCCAGCCCTTTCTCCCCTTACCTCACTGCTCTGTTCTCTGTGTTTCTTCTTGTTCTTCCCTCTTGGTCTGCAGCCCTGTGCCCATCTGTGTCTGTCTGCCTGCCCCTTGGTGACTGGTGTTCCGTTCCTGTCATTGTAATCATGTCTTCTCTCTGTCCGCCCCGCCCTCTGCTGGTTCCCGCTTCTCCC